CTCCGAAATCACAAAAGAGTTCCCCTACCGGGTCTGTATACTTTGTGACTTTGTTCCCGGTTACCGGGTCTGTATCACAGAATTCTGTGGTCTGTATACACTTCGTAGAAGATATTAGGGATGAACAAGAAAATATTATGGGTGAACTAGAAAATATTAGGGGTGAACTAGAAAATATTAGGGATGAACTACAAAACATTAAGGAAGAGCTAAGAAATACTGGGGATGAGCTAGAAAATATATGGGTTGAGATAGAAAATAATTGGGGATAATTTGGATAAGTTAGATAATATTAGGGATTAGCTAGAAAATATTAAGGATGAGCTAGGGAATATTGGGAATGATCCAGAAAATACTGATGAATACTGGGGGTGAGCTAGAAAATACTCGGGATGAGTTTTAAAAATATTAGAGATGATCTAAGAAATATTAGGGATGAGCTAGAAAATACTGGGGATGAGGTAGAAAATATTACAAATGAGCTAGAAAATAATAGGGATGAAGAAGAAAATACAATGGATGAGCTAGAAAATAATAGGGATGAGCTAGAAAATATTAGGGATGAGTTAGAAAAGAGAATAGGAATGAGCTAGAAAATGTGGGGAATACTTGGGATGAACAAGAAAATATCAGGGATAATCTAGAAAATATTGGGGAAGTGCTAGAAAATATAAGGGATCAGCTAGGAAATACTGGGGATGAGCTAGAATTTAAAACACTGATGATTAGCTAGGAAATATTACGGATGAGCTAGAATACATTAGGGATGAGCTAGAAAATATTGGCAAAGAAGTAGAAAATACTGGGAATGAGCTAGAAAAGGTTATGGAAGAGCTATAAAATCCTGGGGATGAGCTAGAAAATATTATGGATGACCTAAAAATACTGATGAGCAAGTAAATTTTAAGGATGAGCTAGAAAATAACAGGAATAATCTAGAAAATACTGTGGATGAGCTAGAATATATTTGGGAATATTTGGGATAAGCTGGATAATAATTAGGGATGAGCTAGATCTAGAGAATAATAGGGATGAGCGAGAGAATACTGGGAATGATCTTGAACATACTAATGAAAAGTGGGGGTGAGTTAGAAAATACTGTGGATGGGGCTAAAAAAAAATTAGGGTTGAGCTAGAAAATACTGGGATGAGCTAAAAAAATATTAGGGATGAGCTAGAAAATATAAGGGATGAAGTAGAAGATACTGGAGATGAACTAGAAAATATTAGGGATGAGCTAGAAACTACTGGGAATGGCCTAGAAAATATTAGGAAAGAGCTAGAAAATACTGGGGATGAGATAGAAATTATTACGGATGAACTATAATATTATAGGGATAATCTAGAAAATACTGGGGATGACCTAACAAATAGTTGAGAATATTCGGGATGAGCTAGACATATTACGGAATAAAAACTAGGGATGAGCTTTAAAAAAATATTTTAAGGTAATTTTGATGACTGAAATATTATTTTCTTATGATATTTCTTCTTATTTATTCATTTATAGACCA